TTCTTAACTGCGCAGGTGATATATATTTGTCGCTGATTCAGATGTTGTACCTGAAGATGACATATAAACTGCGCAGATGATATATTTGTCAATAATAATATACGTACCATTCTGATTCATCTACCACCATGCGCCTTATAAACAAGGAAGGTTTCAAACAATTGTTGAATGAGCGCTTAGATCTTGAGATCATCAATTTTACGTAGGAATTTGACTCCAGCAATTTATGCGTGTTTTCTCTTAGTCAGCCTTAAGACAGCTAAATGACACTGAATGAAATCTTCGATATATTTCCATTTTTGCTGTGACTGAATATATACTGTCATTCACACTTTAACATCTTTCAGAAGTCGAGTGTCATTTTATGCTGACATTGAAACATTCCAAAGCGATAAGATTGCGTAGAATAACTGTGTCTTAACATAAGATTCAAAATGATTTCACTGCACAATTCTTGTTTAACACTTAAGCCATAGGAATATCACATCTAGACAACCATCACAAGTCAGTAAAAAAAACTGGCTTAGTGGAAAAAGAGTGCATGGAATAGCTGCCATCTAGACTACGATACTTCCGAAACTAGCTGGCATTTGAACTAGGCAGTGATGCATTCGGAAGATCCCAACTGACTGTTTAATTGAATGCAGTTGACAATTGATAAGTGACTACTGCATCTGACAAGTGCTCAAAAACGATTTCTCACTTCCCATTTCAAATCCGAACCAAAGTGATGAGTTCTCGAAAAAAACTTCTGCCTTCAATCGAAAAACTTTTTCGCTAGAGACCACGAAAAAACAGAGACGAGGAAATTTATAGGATAAATTACACACTTCTAAGCACGTTACGAAGTCCTAATAAGATTACAGAGTGAAACTCTGTTGTATNTGCTAACTTTTAGCTGCATTTATAGTGTGATATAGAAAGGTTGAGCGTGTAACATGCATATAAATGCCTCCACTGAGTATTTGCTCATAAATATTTCAACGGCACATGAACTGATGTTACGCATCATTAGAGGGTAAGTGAATTACTCATTACTCAGCAATGCTTTACGCATTCGTTACGCCTGCAGTTGCACAAAATAATTGTCAACCATAATTAGATTTGATCGAATAGAATGGGCAAACTTCCGCAATTAAATCAGCCGTTAGACGGTAGGAGACGGCTGGCACAAAGTGCGGAAAGTGTGTTGTCGAAATGAGAGAGATTCAGAAGTGACTGATTGATTACCTGAGGCAAGATCGATTCTTGAAGCAGAATATGATTTCGGCGGTGTTGCTAAAGTCATCATATAATTCGTCTCATCGTTACTCTCCTCGTTGGTTGGTGGTAATTCTTCCACAAACGATCGCAGCCAAACAGATGATCGCCTACGAGTGGCTGCACGTAGGCTTGCCACCGGTATATCATAGGATGTTTTACGTGCGAATTTGCGCCTTGAATCCGTCGCCGTGCTATGTGCTGTTGACGATTCCATCACGGTCACATCGGAAGAGGACGGTGACGGTACGGTTTCAACGAACTCAGAAGATGTTGAAGCAACAACAGGCATGCGGCGCCTGTGCTCCGGTTGTCCCAGCCCAATTGGGACGGATCGGGAAGCTCCGTGGAGTCTGCGGTGACGACGTGTTATCGGAGCGGTGACTGTGGCTGGAACCGTCGTGGCCGGCTCAGCAGATGAAGACGGAGCAGTGGCCAACCGTATAGGACGATTCAGTTGCAGGCCGACGACGCTAATGACACCCCCTTCATAGTCCTCGTTTGTTTCTGGCTGAATTAGAGCAGCGCACCAGTTGCGCGCAACAGCGCCTATAAATGGCAAACCCATTGGGGCCTTTCGGTTGCTGGCCTTTTCGACGTCTGTATAAGTGTTAACACGTAGGCGGTACCACAGCACCAAACACAGCACAGCAGTTGACGAGGCAAACTCTTCACTCAGAAGTAAATTTGCAATTTATTAACGACTGAAGTGATTCCTGACTTACTCGGGATTATGAATGACTGGAGTAAGGATTGTCAGCGATGAGCATCTCCTTGGAACACAATCTTGATCAGTTGCAGGAACGTTGAATCAATCGTAAGCATTAATCTGCGTCCTCAATCGCATCCATAATCATACTCATTCACAGAGGAAATGTGAATTCGGCAAATTTCCGAAACGAATTCAGACGTCAATCAAGAACTGCTTGATTGTGAGTGATTTTGAGCTCGCCATCCAAAACGCTTGATATTGCCCTAGGCACATTTAATTTGCATCCAAATATATCTTCATCGTTCATCGTGAATGTGTGAATATTCGCAGACGAACCGAAAAAAGTGCCAAAATCGGTGTGAATATTGTTCATTATAATTTGAAGTGATGTTCTTCGACGGCTTTATAGCGAGGAGAAGAGCAATCAATCAAACCGTTGTTGACTGCCAGCAGAAGGAACCGAAAAGAATTTTGAGCATGCAATACGCTCAGTCAGTTTTACACAAATTCAATGTGAAAAATATGCAAACAATAGATCGATGTCGGATTTCGCTTTGTACAGCTATAAGAATGTCGATTAATAGAACGATGAATTACTTCCTGACCCAATCTATGCTGCTATCTGGCGTTCACGTATTCTGACGACCATTTTAGAGTCTCTCCAATTGCCAACTTCAACAAATTCAGAAGTTTATTCAGTTTCATGGACCACTAACAATTTTCCTTGT